TTTCCCCTCAAGTTAAAGTCAGACGATAAATTTTGCTAAAAACTGATATAAAAAAATTCTTTTAAGGAAAATAATTTTATGTAAATTAACTTATAAGACTTCAATAAATATATCAATCTTAATTTAAAAATAAATTAACCAACTTAATTGAAATCACTCATGGAACTTAGAATTTGAAAAACATTTTAGTATACTCAAATTTTTTCAGCTTAAGTCGGGTAAGTATCAATGACATTAAAAGCTGTTAACAAGAAAGAATGTGTAACCTAGGCCCGATAAAGAGAAACTGATTGGAACCGGGCAGAACACTAATTAAGGGGCCCCATCATCTTCACTTTTAATAAAATTTGTACAGTCTGCGCTCTTTAGTACGACCCCCATTAGTGTGACTCTTCCAATATAACGTCCACCACATGAAGTCCCGTTTGCTTTTCCATAGACGCAATGTTATTTTAATGCCCATCAGATCTAAACCGTACAATCAAATATAGCAACCGAAATTTTCTTTAATTCCCAGAAAATCACTCAGAAATCAGATGTTCAGCCATTTTTGGGCTTTCGATGCTAACATTTCTCCATTGACAATAAGTCATTCTGTATCAAAAAGTCTCGGAAAAACTATTTTTTTCCCCTCAAAACTTTACATGACAAGATTAAGGAGCCGGGAACTACAATCATATGCTACACTAAAAGCCCAATTCAAAATATTCCAGTATAAAATAAACGCTTTGGCACCGTTCAGCTCCATTTAATTTACCAACACCTACCAGAACTCCTGTATCAAGCATTGGGGGAAATTTGCCTTCGTGAAGGACTTTTTGTTGAAACTAACCCGCATTTGCGTTACATGGAGAGGAAAATTAAGAAAAAACCCCACGGTTAGCCTGACGGCAAGAAAACTCTAAACCATGATCCGTCTACCACTGAGGATATTTTACGTCAGCACAGTGATCTGTGCGAGCCGGGTGCGGAATTGGTATCCACCAACCATCGCTGATATTCGAACCCGGTTCACCTCATTGGAAGTATTTGTAATTATCCATATTTGTAATTTTCGACGCTTGTCGGGACAATTAGGATGTACTTATCCTAATTGGCAGTAATACTAACATGCGTTTGTAACAAGATTGATGACTTAAATTTGGACCATGTTTTCTGTATTAGATAAAAAGAAAAACTAAAAAATGTTTCATTTTTACGTTCGTTATTATCGGAATAATTAACCAAAATCTAACAACAATGCTAATTAACACGTTTTAAGCAAGATAGAATTACAAAATTTAGACCATATTTTTTTAGACTAATAGAATAACAAAAAAAATCTTTTTTTTTCTCTGATATTTTGTAATTATCTGGGTAATTATGCCATAAGAGATGAATTCGTGCTGGCGAGAGACTTTGTGGAATCTCGAAGCAGTGAGTTTGTTAGGGTGGACCAATTGGCTACCGCAGATGAATTCGAGACTTAAAATGCAAATTCCGAGGTTCATTTTTGAAATGGTTCTTTACACAATTTTCTTAAATTGAAAATATTTCTCAGGACGACTGTTAAAAATATTTACTTTGGAGGAAATGTGGAATACCTAATGCAATAAATACTTAAAAATTTACCCTCCAAAGCTCTTTTTTTTTCTGAATCACATTTTTTTATTGGTAAAAAAATGGTCTAATAGGGTGCTTGCACTCAAAGAAGAAGAAGACCTCCCATACCCACACATGTGACATATGACATCAGCGCCAGCTAATCTTTATCAACAAAATAGTGTATTGAAGTTGAACTAAGTTTCTCTATATAAATCAGAATATAAATTAACGATAAGTTAATTAAATAGAGAGTCGTATCACACATCGAATTAGTTGAAATATAATTCTTTCTCACCTACTTCTTTTACTTAACTTTGATTTATGCATATATATTGTGAAAGAATTAAAATCTTTGAGAAAGAATCTTTATGAAAGAATTTAGAATGCGTCACTTAAAGGAATTGATACTTGACGGGCTTGGCTTACTGGCTTACTCGAAATAGAATGGAAAGAGCAGTTGCTGTTCTAAACAAATGCCACCTTTCAACAACCAATCAGGATCGAGATACCCACACTACGTCACTTGCAGATAACCTGATAACCAGGCCCGTCCCTAACCGATTCGAGAGGGGGGGTGTTGAAGTTTATTTTGCCGACTATCATGTACGTATATATATATACGTGTATATATATATATATATATATATGTATNCGCATGGAAAGAATGTGTGGAATGTCCTTTTCTTGATCCCTGAGAAGTAATCAGCGCCACTTTTTGAGCAGCAAACCGGTTTAAAAATGGCCAGCTGCTTTTCAAACTTCCGGAGGGGAAAGTAAACTGTAAATATCCGAAAGTAAATATCCGACAATGAAAAAATTTCGGCAAAGTCGGGATTTTGAAATGTAAAAAAAAAAAAAAAAAAAAAAAAAAAAAAAAATGCCGACTCAACCTGAATTTGCCGACTGGATGATATCGCTGGGGGGGTGAGACACCCCTCTCACCCCCCCGTTAGGGACGGGCCTGCTGATAACCCATACAGATAGTTCCAAAATTTGGCTGACCAATGTAGTGGGATCATAAAAGAGATTAAGATGATGAAAACTTACAATAGATCATGGAGTAGTTAAGATGGTGAAAATAGCGGAAAATACACGCTGATGATTTTATCATTACTTATGATAATTTTTTTTAAATTTTTCGTATTAAATTTTTTTTACGCTAGTCCATTTCAAAAACTATACCTCATACTTGAAAATATGCATTATATTTGCCCATCTCTAAAAATATACGTTATACCTAATGTTTTTTTAAAAGTTTTTTTAAAAATGGCAGTTAATGATACAATAAAAAAAATATCTAAAAGTTTGCTCTAAACTGGTAAAATAAAAGATTTGCATCAGAGAAAAGATTACAGATCAGATTTATCAATGGCGTTGTTAAAAATTGTCAATGGCATTATTTTTTAATCAATGGTATTGTTAAAAATTGTCAATTGAAAAGCTAAAAATTGTCAATGGTGTTGTTTCTTAATCAATGTCATTGTTAAAAATTTATAATTTTTTTAAAATCAATTTTAATGAATGTTATTTAACAAAAAAAAAATCACAATACGTAGGGATTCATAAAACGTTACTTTTTTTTTATTAAATTTAATTTATCAAAAAAATTTGCTTCTCGATGAATATTTTTGATTATTGTTCATCTTTAAAATAGTACCTTACTTTCATGGGTTGTGAAGTTTTCTAAAAAAATAGACTGACCAATTAACAAGATTATTTAAATTAATTAGTAACCGGGGGGCTTTTTGTTTTCTTAGGCAAATATCTTTTTATTCTATTCGATTTTTAAAATGGTATCTTTATCTTTAACTTTTTTTTCTTAAATGGCTGTGGTATTATTTGTGGTGAAAAATTATATGAATGAATAATTGAATATAATGAATTTGGTAAAAAATTGGCTTACTAAGTTAAGTTATAATGATAAATTGAATAAAAAAAATTTAAAGTTTTTATATAGATTCAAAACAAAAGCATTTGAGGAAATATGTTTAGATTTGAGGTTTTTTACCTTCAAACAGTTTGTAAGGTTTTGAGAACAACTGCTGAAATTCAAGAACAGTCATCCTCTAATAGGCAGCATTCTCACCGAATATGATTACTGCATCTCCGATTAGCAGGGGGGAAAATATGAGAACCTCATTGGTGAAAGGTATTTTCGCATGAAAAACTCACCAATTAAGTTAATTTTTCTCTCTCTGGTGATCGGAGGAGCGACAACCGCATTTGGTGTGAGTGCTTCGTTATGAATGGAGAACGCAAACTGAAAATCTCGTAGTTGCATGGTAATCAGACTGACTAGATTGAATGTAGTAAGAATAAGTTCCATCCTTGGCATACAAATAGCTAAGGATCTTCTTATTCTGGTGGCCAAGGCTTTATCACATGTTTTTAAATTTTGTAAGGATCATTCCCACTGCATTGTCAGCGATGTAAGCAGATTTTATCAGATTTTTATAGTATAGCGTGGAGGGCCATTTCCAGAGGAGCACGAGCATCAAGGGCCAGTCTCAATGCATGCGATTTTTCGCATGCATGAAACAAAACAAAAAAAAAAAANAAAATGAAAAAAAAAAAAAAAAAAAAACGATCCGCATACTGAAAAAAAGCAGTTGAAAATTTTAATAATGCTGAGAATCTGAATGAATCACTTCTATTAATATGTACTGATCAGATTCACGATCTTTGAAGTTTCTCTCGCAAGTCCACTGTGTTCTTTTCCTGCTCAGTTGTATGTAAATCGTTAAGCAAATACAACAACCTTTTTCCTTTCATCAATAGTACCGGCGTTTGAATGACCACATGTTTTAAATTTTCAGAAGTATTATTTTAATTAGCCACCGATTGCAGTTTTTCCGCGTGGAACTAAATCTGCGAAAAAAGAAAAAAAAAAGTTTTATAAGTTTGTTTGATGTCTTCCCTTCAGATGTTATTTTTCATTCTTGATTTCATTACAATCACACCTCGCATAAAAATTATTTTGCTGGTGCTTGTTTATGATTTCAATTATTTGTCAAATTAAATAGATTTGACCAGACGCAAAACTTTATGAACTTAAACACGTGCATAGTTTTAGTTTTAGTTTTGCTATCTCGAAATTTGACACCCCACCATAAGGCTAGATGTTTGTGTCTACAAAAAATAATTTATTGACTGTAAAATAAAAGCTTTAAGAACCTCTAATTATATATCAAATAAAAAATAAGTTTATTATTCACTTGAAATATTAATTTTTTGAAAACACTATTAAGTCATAAGAAACGAAATTTAAAGGTGCAATTTGATCAATGTTATTTAATATTTTCAAAAAAGAACTTTGAAAACGACTACCCTTTTTTTAATTTAAATTTTACATTGTTTTATATCAAGGGTCATTGATATAAATTTTATTTCCCTTAATTTTATAAATTGGGGTTGACGAATTCTTCATCAAATTGCAGAACAGGACCGCATACATTCACATCCGGGACATACACTGTAAAGATTACTGTTATGGCGGCGATGTGTTGGTCATAAGTATTAATAAACTTTATATAGTGATCCATACTTTTATTTTCAAATACATTGAGGCTTTTATTTTCCAAAACCTAGTGTTAAATGTCTTCAAATAATAAGAAACATGCAGAATGTAGTTCACAATTCTAAATGTGATAGCCTTAGAGACAGTGAAATAAACGAATCTATTAAAGACCATTCTAGGTCTTCGTCACCTCTAAGTGGTAATCTAAACGTAGAAAGGGGACCAAGCGTCACATCTCTTCAAACTCATTTTATGGCCGAAGTTTCCGAAAGTGAGGAGGACGATGTTTCGGATGTAAGTTGATTAAATAATTGTTTTTACATGTCGCGATGAACCTAAAACGTAATACATATAGTTAGTAGGCTTAAGCTATGTTTACACTCCTCACCGTAACAGATCAGATGTTTTTAAGCTATTATTAAGTGCCTTGAATAAGAAATCTTACTGATAATAATCTATAATATTCAATAAACATATATTCTTTCAATTATATTTACTTTTACATGTTTTCATAAGGTGTGACGTAAGCGAGCACAGCCCTCATTGTAATGTTGACCTCAACATTAAGTAGTTAAGTTAATACGTATTGATATTTAGAATAACATTCCTTCAAGAACAATATATTATACGATTATTTCCCTGTATCTCCTTCTAGTTATTTTTAAAGTTTTTCATCTTAATCAGTTCTTAATATGTTGATGCAATTATATTTTGTTGACATAAGCTTCCACTCAGCTTGTTGTTTTTTTTTTCTTAATAAAAGTTAGCGAATTCAGTTTCTTTAAAAATTTTCTGATAAAATCTCGTAAACTAATCAGAGTTCATTTCCTGCACTAAATGAGGTTTGAATATTAAAATACATCATTGGTTCTCAAGTGTTACAAACATTTTACCTTATTCACTATTTCATTTACAATTCGCTTAAATTTTAAAGATTTATAAATTCTATGAAATAAATATTTTATTGTTTCACCAGGCAAACACTTTTTCGTACTCAAATCACAATAAATAATTCTTTAATATTTTTACACACCCTTGTGATGACCTCACTTGTTGTCTTAAAATTAAATGATTACTATTCATTAAACTGATTTCTGAATAGGTTAAGAATGTTCTATAAGTCTAATTACAGTACTAGCTTGAATTTAAACTGAATTAAAGATTGTTAATTCTTATAAAATTACTTTTTTTAAAATATAATCTGTGATTGTACCAATTGAATATTTAATTAGTCAATAATTATGTGGAACCAATTTGTAACTGTAAAAACCATGAATGTTTTACACTTATGATAGCAATTGATAAGAGTATTTTGTAGACAAGGCACTAAATTGTGTAATTTGAAAATGTTAAATCATTGTTACTAAAGATAGAAAATATTATTATTAATTATTGTTAGTTTAATAATTATTGTTAATTTAATAATTTATTGTTAGTGCCTTTAACATTTATAAATTCAGTAAAGATTTTTGTTCAGGTAACTGTAAGGGAGGGCAAACCTGAGGTTTAGTTCTTAAGTTCTGGTTCGAAGGGGTTGCAAACTTATAATCAATATTATTGTGTATAAACTGTGTAAAGTGCATGAAAATCAGAGTGTAAAAAATCATGGATATTCTTCATTAATTTAAATTTTTATTTATTTTTATTTTTTCTAAACTGAATTATTGTGTGGTATTGACTGTCATAATATTTATAAAGAAAGTTTGTACATTTATGTTGAATATTTATATAATCATACAATAAATAACACTAAATTGTTTCTAATATAGCAGAATGGACTAAATTGTTTAAACACCTTTCCTGAAACAGTTTTGTTAATAGTTTAAATAGCTCTTAGAGAAATATTACACTATTAAAAATTCACTGTTTATTCTTTGTTATTTGTTGTTAGTAAATGTTTATCACTTTTAATTTGAATTTCTTTTCAAAAGGTTTTCAGATTTTTTAAATAAGTCTCTTTTTACTGATCTTAAAAAAAAATTGTTCCTCTAATTATTTTCAAACGCCAGTTTAAAATCTTATGAATAAATTTTGGGGAGATTTCCGTACCTTGATCTGTGGCAGAATAATCGGCAAGTCTTGGAAACTTCCGGGCAGCGGGCCGCGAGAAACTAAAAAAAAAACATCACAGAAAGGGACCAACTTGAAAGGTATAACTTGTAACAACCCCCAAGCAAAGATCTACATGTTTTTTTTTTAAAGAAATTTGCCAGTTTAAAATCTATTTTTAGTTAGCGTTACAGATCTCGATGCAGAAATATCCCCTAAATTTTAACATAGGTTAAAGATAGCTAAACATTTATACTGTTTTTATGAGCACATGTTAAGAATTTTTTGAAGTACAAAGGAACGGTGAAAGGAAAACAAATTTCAAAAAGAATATACTATGAATATTAATAAAGGTGACTTTAAATAACATTGGAAAACTTCTGCAGAGAGGTTTTGTTTTGGTTCAAATTTTAAATGTTTTTATTAAAATCTACTAATTACTATCATTCTGCAATCTTTATATTACATAGGATTTTCTTTTCCAATTTAAAGCTTGTTTTTTAATGTTATTTTTATCTAAATATCTGCTCTCTTTACATCAAAAATAGGAAGAAGAAAAAATAGGTGTAATATTTCATTCATGAAAGGGAAAATTAAATCCTCTGCCCACTTTTTTAGCATTATTAATTAACCTTTATTTTATTATACTAAATATGCTCTTGTTAATTAAATGTCAATTAAAAAAACCCATTATGTATAAATATTGTCGACATTAACATTTTTTAAAAATCATTTTAGTATGGTTTGATCTTTGTTTACCTTAAAGACCTATTATCGGTATAAATCTTGACAATGCCAGATACAGAACTTACCTCTGTATATTATGTGTCACTTTCAAATTCCAATTACTATATTATTTTTAATAATTTTAATATGGTAGATGATTGTCTCAACATAAGGAAAAATTATTTAAATATGTAATCTTTAAGATTATTGATATTTGGAATAAGTTATAAGGTTAACTCTTATCTTGATAATTTTACCCCCCCCCCCAATTAGTTATAGGTTGTTAAATCAAATTGGGCAATATCTGAAATTTTTAGTCATATTAACCCCTTGACGTACAAAGACGTAATTTGTTTCTGATGTCAAAATAATAATTGACGTGCCTTAGACGTCTTCAACACAGAGATGCCAGCTTGCTCCCGAGAGCAATTAAATATTTTAAAGTGATAGTTTACCAATTGTGATTCTTGGTTTAATAAATTCAATTTAGTAGATTTTTATCGACCACTATTTCTAAATAATTCGTAGGCTTATATAATTTACCTCTTTTTAGTAATAAAATATATTTATTTTTTGTTGTAACACTAAGTTTGACGTTTTGTTACTCAAATAAAGTATTTTGAACAAGATACAAAGCTACATTTGAATGCCATAACAACCGATAAATAAATAGTATTTCTAGGTGCATTACTTTTGTGTTTAATGATATGTCAAGGAGTTAAGTGGCTGTCAAAGAAATCCATATTTTTTTAAAATTTTATAAATGTACAGTACAGAACCCTTTATCCGGAAATCAGAAAACCGGTAAACAAAAAAACCAGAAGGAAATTCGATAAATTTTCCCGCCATTTAAAAAAAAATTATTTTTTTTTTCCTCCTATGATTTTAGGATTTTTCTTTCTTTTTTGAAAAATGTTTACGTTACCATCATTTTAGAAATAATCATTAGTGTATTACTTCATCGTTTATTCTTCTTTTTAAGATTATTTCTAAATATGTATTTTTTTCAGTTGGGTTTAACAATAAAAAAACTGCTTTTTGTAACAATTCAGAAAACCAGAAAAATCAGTTATCCGGAATAGCGGTAGTCCCGATCGTTCCGGATAATCGGTTCCCTACTGTATATTATTATTAAAGTAGAGAAGTGAAGTAAATACTCATTGAAGTGCATTATATAAAGACAAATTCTGTTGCATAAGTATATAGTATAATTGTACATTTTGATTTTTGCATGATTTCTCATAAGCCACTTCAGTTATTTTACGTCTGACACAAAAATGCATAATTATTTGTTCTGAGTAAATATTAGAGTTAAAGAAAATGACTTTTTTGGAACCACGTAAAAGAAATATATAAATAATTACCAAAAGTTAACTGTACAGTTATGATCCAATTATCTGGGATTGATGTGATATATATTTTCTGGGTATCTAGTTTTTCTGGATTACTTGAAAACAGCAATTTATTATTTACAAGTCTGATTTTCTATGCTAGATAATATTTTTAAAAAGGACTTTCTTTATTATTAATTCAGGGGCGGCCATTTCTGCATGTCTGATGTGCCGTTTTTGAAAGAATGAATATGAAATACATAGTAGATATATGCAAAGCAATCTCACAACAGTGTATAAGTAGGGTCAGTGAGGTTAGGGCTCTACAGTTTTGTAATTAATAGCATGATTATGACAATGTGGTTGGTATTGTCCTTCGAGCACTTTTAATGTAGTATATTTATTAGAGGTGCACAACCTTTTACAGAGAAGGGCTTATAGCGCAGAAGGTTGACAAACGAAGGGCCACGCTCATGTTGGGTAGTGTTGGCAGCAAATATAATTTTTTATGTAAATATTGGTGTTCTAAGAAATAAATTTTTTTATCAGTTAATCTCAGTAATGTTTTTGCAGAAAATGAAATACGTTTAATGATTAGAATTTATTAAAAGATGAAATAACATGCTTTTTTCCCTTTTTATCAATAATTGATATATTAAAAAAATATAAATTCTAACAAGGGGAAGAAAAAAAACTAATGCTTACAAAGTGAATGAAAGAGTAAAAACAATGCATACGTATTTTGATGAATAATATAAATTTGAATTAAATATTTTAATTAGGAAAATTTATAGGGTTTGAATAAAAACCAAAAATTAAAACAAACAATTAAAGTACAATATAAGATTCCATATTTATTTAGTATATTACACTTTAGGCATTATTTTTATTTCTTGAATTTTTAGAGGTTTCATGAATTTTAAATTCAACTTTTTCTTTTTATAAAAAAAAATTCTCTTAGCTACAGACATTTTAAAACCAAAATACAAACAATGACCAATTTAAAAATTTGAGTTTTGCTCCACTTTTCTAATTTTTCTTGTTGCAATAAGAAATATTGGATATACTTTATGAAATATTGGGATTTCAAATACGATGCCATCAGTTCAAATGGATGGCACTGACTGCCAAAAAGAAAAACGATGGAAAAATAACTTATATTTATGTTTTATGTTGAAATATGCACAAAT